AGGGGACATCATCAATGCAAAACTCTACTACAAAAATGCGTAAATTGTCAAACATCTAGAGGTTAATTTTACATTGGATGATTTTTATGAGCTCTTATTGTGATGTTACTTGCGGGTAACTTCACATCTCATATATAATTATCCTATTTTTTTTCCTCATTTCATGAAATGCTCATTATCATACTATGTACATTAAAGATAAAAATGCATATAAATAAAGCGGAAATACATTTTTTAGTTTCTGCATATATAACACTTTGTTTTAGATCCCTGCATTTTTTTTTCATCCATGTAATATGCATTATTTTGTCTTCAATCCATCATCACTAACTCCAAAACCACACTACTTTGTTTTTGAACGGCCAAAACCACACTACTTAGAAAGAAAAGTTATTTTTAGTTATCTAAATCTACCAGAAACATTTAAAGTTATCCTTTTATAATTTTTTGAGACTAATATGAAAGTTAAAACAATGCAAACTTAATTATTCACATTTTAAAAATATGTATTAAAAACCTTCTAAAATGAAACTAAGAGTCCGTTTGATAACTCTGTTTTTCAGCTTATCAACCTTATCAGTCAATTTTTCAACAAGAGGAGAGACTTTTAATTTTACGCGCGGAATAGTGTAATAATAAAAATAAGTAAGGTTGAAGTTACTTTTCTGGCTGCATTGGCCATTTGGCTGAAGTGACCGTAGAGGATCATTTTAGCTTTTGTGCATATAATTTTTTCTTTATATTATTTAAAAAAATTTATTATTTATCTCTCTCCATAAATCAGTATAATTAACTAATGTAGCCACTTCAGTCAGAATTTCAAAAATTTCAGCAGAATCAGTCGATTAAATCAATTTTAGTGTTACCAAACGGGCCCTAAATACTTTCTGAATAACATGATAAAAAAATTAGAGAAAACCTATTAGTTGGAGTTATTTTGTGGTCAAACAGAGGTTATTAAATTTCAACATAAATTTCCGATATGAAAACAAAAAATTAAATTCGAAGAGATAGAAAACATTATATATTATATTTATAGGTATTAAAAGTAAATGTAAACTTATAAATAAATAATGTTGCTAAGATAAACTAGAAGTTTTATACGAAGTACAACTTATCATATTGGGCCTCCTAATTATTCTCATATTCGAGGCATATATGGTAAGATAAATGTCGTATATAATTATACATGGATAAGAATATAAGATGGGGTTTTTTAGGTCAAACAATAAGGGGGTAGGCTGTTATTTTTGTTTGATTTAGTGGATAGTATTTTGTATGGAGCAATCAGGCTGATTCAGCCGCTAATAGCCTCCAAACTCTCACATTTTCAGCGATTAGTCTCGCTCTTTTTGGGCTGGACTATTCTATGTCTGATCTAGAAGTGTGGGGGCCGCTGAGCTTTTGGTCAGTTTGGGTTAGAGGGAGTTATTTTATTGTCTGCAAGTTCCGAAATTGTACTGCGAGTTTGAATTTAATATAATACTAGTTTTCTGTATAAAAAAAAGAATATAAGATATTAAGTTTTCACTACCAAAGTAACCCTTAGGCTTTCTTAAATATATATAATTACTCAACTTCACCATTTTGTGTCATTCGTTTTTTTTGGCAAACTTTTGTGTCATTCTTTTATGTATCTTAAATGCAAAAATTGTGTAAGTTACTTATTATATCTACACTACATTATATATGATAGTATATCAAATAGTGGCATAAGTATTTTTGTGAAGTGGTGTAAGTGTATTAAAATTATATAAAACTACGACCAACAATCCCGTGGACGATGAACAATGGCTTAACTATTATTGTGTCTATGCTATGATTGTGATCCTCTAACTTACATTTGAGACATGATAAGGTTTTAAGTTTGATTGTTAACTTTTATGTCTCTAATAGTCAAGAATTTGTATTTAAGTAATAACATCTATTATGTGTTTATCAACCCATATTAGTATTAGAGCATTTTGAAATTGTTTGTGCAACGCACGGGTGAAAGACTAGTTGCTCTAAAACCATTTAATTTTGCATTAACATAATCGTTTGTTACACTAAACCATTCCAATCTCGTGTCCTTCCACTTTCCTTTAATTAAGTGCGTCTAAAACACACCCACCAAGAAGCCTCCAGTAATGGTTGATTACACATACAACACCAAATAAGCTACTATAACACACACACGAATAACATGCAAGTTAGTTTCAATATGTGAATATTTCAATTTGCTCTGCTGATGTCATTTACAATTTAATCGCATTTTCCTCTTATTTGTTTAAAATGAGTGATGAAGGAATCAAGCTATACAAATTAAAATAATGAAAGAAAAATAACCTACAAGAATGATGATAAAGAAATTCAATTGTGACATCTAACCTAAGGATGAACAATAAAGTAGAATGAGAATTTGTGAAAGTATTTATAGGAGATCAAATGTATTTATAGGAGATCAAACTTAACATAAATTTGAGATAATCCTTTTTAAGTGCCTAGTGGGTTTCGAACTCGAGACCTTCCACTAGGCACGGTAACCTCACAACCAGTTGAGCTGGAATGCTTGGTTAGATAGTTTATAATTTTTCATACAATTAACTGTACCATTACTTCGGTAATTTGGTTATTGAATAACTAAAACTTTACTCGAATTAGCCAATTAATTTAACAATACTTTTAGTTTTTTTTACAAAAACATTATTAAAATGTAGTGTCATGGTAACTTAAGTTTTAACATTGAACATAAGTTACCATGATTTCATTACTACTCTAGTTACTAGTCGCATTTTTGTAAACGCTCTTTATTTTGATCATAAATATGTAATTATTATAATTTTAATGAGCATATAACATTCTCACTAATGAACATCTTTTTCATATGAAAGTAATTGATTGATTCTACATATTAAATATTTCAATATATGATAATTCCTTTAGATTAATTTAATGCAATTAAGTTATACATATACTTCATATGTTAATCTGATCACCCTACATGCTCAAAAGGGAGCATGTAACATTCATATGTTAACTAGTGTAGATCTCGGGGCATGCCCCGGTAGTTTTAGGGATTGTTTGCAATTGTTTCAACTTTAAAAAGTGATTTTTTAAATTAATTTTGGGAAAAGTGATTAATAATAAAAAATAGTAGTGTTTGAAAAAAAGTGATTCTGAAAAAGTAAAAGTTGGTAGTGTTTGGTGAAATAAGTATTTTTTATGTAATAGAAAAAGTGGAAAGCAGTTTAAAGCACCATTTTACCTGCTTCCAGCTTTTAGCTTTTAAGTGATTAATTTAAGCAGAAGCTGTCATTTAAAAACACTCTTTTCAGCTTTTTTAAGCCAAAAGCTGAAAAGCGCTATTTTTAAGCAACCGCAAACACTCCTTTAATTTCATATGAGTTAAAACTTGTATTAAACTTTTGAATATAATAAATCTATATTATGAACTAATCACATATATTTATAAATTCATATTTGTTAAATGATAATTGTCGGTCATCATATACTACATTAGTACTCCGTATATATTTAAACATTAGTCAATATTATTTTTCAGATTTTATTACTTCCGTAAGAGACACTTTACATTTTGGTTGCCAATAGAATATGAATGTTCTTTTAAATTACCAATGACTTCTTATTTCTCACTTTATTCTTTATGAAATAATTACATAAATATGATCAAAATAAAGATGGTTTACAAAAATATGATTAGTTACTAGAGTAGTAATGAAATCATAGTAATTCATGTTCATGTTTTGAACTTAAGTTACCACAACACTACGTTGCAGTAATGAATAGTCATATTTATGTAAATAAGTTTTATTTTAATAATATTCTTGTAAAAATCTCATTCTTTATCTGTCATTTCGCCTTATACTTTTTGTAGATCTATATTGAACTTTTTTACCTTCTTACATGTTAAATAAAATTGTAAACCGGATGCATTATACTCCATACTTGCTTTTAACCATGTATGAAATCCAATCATATCTTACAATAAGAGGGAATGGGTATGTGTTTATGGAAAGTTGACACTTATTTTAATCATTCTTTGTAATATCACAAGTGTTTCTTATTGTGACAATTTAGTCAACATTTTAATTTTTCACCACAAAATTAATTTTCCTCCCTTCTATCTAGTAAGATATGTTTTGCTTTATGGTTGCCAAAAAATATGAATGATATCCTCACTCCTCAATTAAATTTAACTAACATTTTAATTTTTCATTTTACCGTTTCATCTATTATTTCACCTATTAATTTTTGTAGACTTATATTACTTTGTGAATGTTAAAATTGCAGAACAATAAGTTCATTATTTATCTGCTCCTTGAGGGAGTATAAGCAGATATTGTACCATTTGGGTGAAAGTACATAAGTATTTCTCGGTGTTCCAAATTGCTCCCGGAAGCAGTTTTTTAGAAGTTGGCTGTAACACCGTCCCCAAGTATATTTACTTTTGTGTAAGTTATGTATTGAACCTTATGAAATGGTTAATGAATTTACGAGGTTGTAAATTTTTGTTAATTCTTTTGCGTGAATAGTAAATTGCACGTGGGGCCCACACGGGAGCGGGGACCACCCGATATTCCCGAGACCGCATATTTTATTCATCTTGGTATAGATAATAGTTATATGGTGGTGGACATTCACTTTGGGCCATAAGAAAGGCATTGGGTTGACCGATTGGTCAAACAAGGCCCAATTACCGGTTTTGGGTAATTTATCGGATAACAGTCCGAAATGAATTTCGGAGACTTCCAAATTAGAGTTGGGGAAAGTATACTCATTATAAAGGCCCGTAATGATCGAGAACATACTATATATTTCATTTGACCCAATAAAATAAAGTATAGTTAAAACTGTCCAAGAAATACAACTTTCGGGACAAATTGTACACTTCGGGGCACATTGGGATGACCTCCCACATGAGTGGGGGCCATCCCACGTTTTTGAGAGCTTAAGTTGACTAAGAGGTCCTGCACAACATAATGATGTGGTGTGGAGTGCTTGAGGGTGATGGTTGGTGTGTTGATGACATGAGGTGGGCTCCCATCCCACACTCATTGGTCCATGGAAGACAAATTAGTCACTCCATCCCCTCCCCTCCATTATGCACGACCCAAGCACCAAGAAAGAAGGAGAAAGGCTCTGCAAACTCAGTCCTCCATAGCAAATCTCGAGCTCAAGCTCCAACAAGAAAAAGGGAGAAGTTTAGGAGAGGAAAAAGGGAAGAAAAAAGTGTGGTGATTAAGGTAACGACTTCGTATTAGTTGTTCCTCTATCCTCTAACTATCATATGACTTACATAGCATGTAAGGAGCCTTTTTAGTAGCTCTACATATTTATAAATATAGAAATAAGGGTTGAGAGGTGGTTCTATGTCCAAGAACGGACTTAGGAGCCAAAACGACCGGTTAGCCGGAAAATAACCTTTTAAGGGTTATTTGTATTGATATGGGTTTTGTGATGGTAAAACCTTGTTAGGCACTTGTCAAAGGTGATTTAAAAGCTTTCACAAAGTTTAAGGAGTCGCCGGAGTTATCGCCGGAGTTCGTCAAAGTTCACCGGAGTTTGGCCGGAGTTCAACCGAGAAGGGTAGAACTTCATCACGCTCATTTGAGGTGAGTGGACGGCTTAATGTCTTATAACTCTTGGGTTAATTATGAGATTACCTAAGTAAATGTTATATGTGTTCATAATGATGTTTAAAAGATGCTTAAACATGTGATTATCCAAAGTGATTAGACTTATATGTATGACCCATTGATATCATAAATGAAGTATGATATGAAAATGTTTATAAAAACATATTTGATGTTTTAAGGGATGAAAGGGGCGTAAAATGCTTGGTTATAACTTAATACATGTTGGGATTAAGTTTGACGCAAATCGGGTTTGAAATGGCGAGTCAACGAAAATGTTGACTTGGTTGCCCAGGGGGTAACCGGCGCCGGTTATAGGCAAAACCGGCGCCGGTTATGGATCGGCATGGCCGGTTTTATTAACTTAATTAATAACCGGCGCCGGTTATGTCAAAACCGGCGCCGGTTTGGCACTGTTTTGCCTATATGTTGGTTTTTAATGCATGAATTGCATGGATGATTATGCTTAGGCCTTAAGACTTGGTTTAGTCTTGATTATTGATTATGATATAGACCTTATCTAGGGTGATATGTGGTAGATCATAAGTCGGGTGGAGTACCCAGGGATCGGGCGGTTATCCTCAAAACTCAGTTATAGGGTGGAGTACCCAGGGATCGGGCGGTTATCCTCAAAACTCAGTTATAGGGTGGAGTACCCAGGGATCGGGCGGTTATCCTCAAAACTCGGTTATAGGGTGGAGTACCCAGGGATCGGGCGGTTATCCTCAAAACTCAGTTATAGGGTGGAGTACCCAGGGATCGGGCGGTTATCCTCAAAACTCGGTTATAGGGTGGAGTACCCAAGGATCGGGCGTGTATCCTCAAAACTCGGTTATATAGGGTGGAGTACCCAAGGATCGGGCGTGTATCCTCAAAACTCATAGATTTATTATTTTGTAATTTAGGACCGGGCGGTGTCCTCATGTTAAGATGATCTGAACCAGGAGGAGTTCTATACACTCATAGGTATATGGGTGGGTTAGGGTTTAAGCCAAGGTTACCGGCTATATTATTTCCCAAATAAACAATGACCTACGGGTCGGGTATTTCCAAGTGTATATATAATGATATATATTTCATAACTTGGGGGAAGGAACTATATGTATATGAATCACCCTATGTTTGGGTCTTATAGTTGAAACATTAGTTATTCTACATTTAGCCTGCTACTCGCTCGGTACTTGTACTGACCCCTTCGGGGGCCCCACCATTTCAGGTTGAAGCTCAAGCTTGCTATTCTCACCTTGCTCGGTGAAGTGATCTAAAGGGAGACGTGGTTCGTGCTTCCTTTACTGTTTTAAACTATAAACTATGCTCATGGATATTTTGTAATAAGTACATTTGTTTTAGGCCTGCGAGCCCACGTTTTGGCCATATGTGGCCCATGGTTGAACATTGAATATTTCCGCGATTCGTTCAATCCAAATATGTGATGTTGTTATGTATGTTTACTTACTGAGTATGGTATGAACAACGTTCATGGACGCCTTGTATGATTAAGTCACGTTGACTTGCGAGTGACGTCATTTAGTCATACGGCGGTTGTACACGCGCTCGGATGCGGTCTGGGGCGTGACAATTAAGTGGTATCAGAGCCATCTCAGTTCCTAAACTATGTAGTCAACCTCTCACAAGAGATTTTACAAAAGAGTTCCACCGAAAACCATGAGCATTGTATTTTGACGTTTATAGAACTATTGTTACCTAAGTTGCAAGGTCTCTAATTGTTAAGACGGTACCCTTAACAATTGGTACGGCGGTGATTTGGGCCAATATGCGTCTATAACGTTTTCCGTCAATTGACATCGATAGGAGTCTAACGACTCATCCAACTTTCTTTCAGAAATGGAGGATGAACACATGACAACAAGAAATGACCCTAGAAGACAAGTGTCGGTAGCTTCCTTTGGAGCTAGCCGGGCTATGTCGCGAGCGCTTAGGGGGAGGGAAAGAGGTCTTGGGGGCCGTGAGGGTTGCCCGGACGGAATAGTGATTGATGGTCACGTGAACGTGGTGGGTAGTACGAACGCTGGGAGGAATAATGAAACTCATATCCAAGAATTGGGACGTGAGCAGGCCCCATGCGATGGGGGAGACTATTACTTCAATGACGTGAGGAATGACTTCCGTTTTGACCAAACGGTGGAGGTTCAAGAGCGGTACAAAAAGGGGTGGCGGAGAAAAGAACGTAGGCGTCAGGCTGGATATGATCGAGCTACCTACCAATATAATATGACCGTCAACCAAGTCCATTCTTGGAGGAGTAACCAAGGAGAAGAAGGTTCTTTTAAGGCACTGGCATTACCGGTGAAAAAGAAAAAGAAGTCAAAGTGGAATACGTCATGGCTTTACTCTTCAAGACAACCTAAGTGTCCAGATTACTCTAAGAGACATTTGAGAAAGTGCAACGAACCCTCGACGTGTTTCAAATGCGGGAGCACGGGTCACATGAAGCCAAGTTGCCCGTGGAGGGGTAAAGGAAGGGCATCGGGAGCCGGGAAAGGGGTCGTCGTGGAAAGAAGTTGTGCGGAGGCGATAACGGGTAGCGTTACGTCCGCTAACCAAGGCAAGGCCCAAACAGGGGTTTATGCGATGACCGAGGCCGATGCTCGGGCTAACCCCGACTCCATTGCAGGTAATCCCTTGTAATGTTTGATAAATTACATATTGTTTAGTGTTAGAAACGATAGCGGGCTTGTACGGACTTGCCGGGGTCGATACCGACAGGTTTTTAGCAAAAAGTTGTAGGAATAAAGCTGCCCAGGGGTAAACCGGCGCCGGTCAGGGCTTAAACCGGCGCCGGTTCTATCTAAAAACTTATTATTTGGGGCTGCCGTAAGTAAACCGGCGCCGGTTTTGCCCATAACCGGCGCCGGTCCAGTTTCGGATAGGCTAAAGCAATTAAACACGTAATTTCCGGGGAAGGGCCGAAGGAAAACCGGCGCCGGTTTTGCCCATAACCGGCGCCGGTCTAGGGGAAAATGAGCTGGGACAAATCACCGTGCTCGTAACCAGGGCCGGTTTTAAAGAAAAAATATTTTTTCGAGGTTGCCGAAAGTAAACCGGCGCCGGTTTTGGTCATAACCGGCGCCGGTCCGATTCATTTTGTGCATGGTCGGCCATCCCAGGGTAAAAAACCGGCGCCGGTCTGGCCTAAAACCGGCGCCGGTCCAGTACATTTTCGGCTAGAAAATGTCCGTTTAGCCCATTTTCGATTCGGTACTTCGAATAGTGTGTCTTACATCATCTATAAATGTAGGAACACTATTGATCAATGGAAGAAATGCAAGAATTCTCATTGATACCGGGGCTCAACGTTCATTTGTGAGTGAGGCGTTCGCCGAAGGTCTTGACGTGCCATTGACGCCAATGACGCAAACCTTGTTAGTCTCCACACCATTGGGAGACGACGTGGAGAGGAACCATTACTATCCATCGTGTGGGGTAGAAGTGACGGGTCAACCTTTGACTTGTGACTTCGTACCTCTAAGTATGATGGAGTTCGATGCTATCCTAGGAATGGATTGGCTTGAAAAGCACCATGCTCGAGTTGATTGCTACACCAAAGTGTTGGAACTCGAGGATGATAAGGGGAACACCTTACGTTTCGAGGGAGATCGGGGAGGATCTCATGGTTGTATCATATCCGTGATGAGAGCACGGAAGATGATGAGAAAAGGATGCCACGCATACCTTGCTTACGTAGTAGATGAGACAAGGAAAGAGATAGACATCAACGATGTACGTGTCGTGTGCAAGTATCCGGACGTCTTTCCCAAAGACGTACCGGGACTTCCACCCGACCGGGAGATTGAGTTCGTAATTGAAGTTGAACCGGGAACCAAACCCATTTCGATACCTCCTTATCGAATGGCACCGACGGAACTTCAAGAGTTAAAGGTCCAACTGCAAGAACTTTTGGACAACGGATTCATTAGGCCCAGTCACTCACCGTGGGGAGCACCCGTACTCTTCGTGAAGAAGAAAGATGGCACATTGAGAATGTGCATAGATTACCGACAGTTGAACAAGGTCACGATCAAGAATAGGTATCCTTTACCGAGGATTGATGACTTGTTTGATCAACTTCGGGGGGCGATAGTGTTCTCGAAGATTGATTTGAGGTCGGGCTATCATCAGTTGAAGATCAAGGAGAGTGACATACCTAAGAGTGCATTCCGCACTAGATATGGTCACTATGAGTTTCTTGTGATGTCTTTCGGGTTAACCAACGCACCGACAGCATTCATGGACTTGATGAACCGAGTGTTTAGTGAATACTTGGATCAATTTGTGATAGTATTCATTGATGACATCTTGATATACTCCAAGAGCGAGGAGGAGCATGAACATCACCCGAGGCTTGTACTTGAACGACTTAGAGAAAAACAACTCTTTGCCAAGTTCTCCAAATGTGAATTTTGGCTCAAAGAGATTGGCTTTCTCGGGCATGTCATATCCGGTTCAGGCGTTACGGTGGACAACGCCAAGATAAGAGCCATCATCGACTCGGAGCGACCCAAAAATGTGAAAGAAATACGTAGTTTCCTTGGCCTAGCGGGATACTATCGTAAGTTCGTCGAGAAATTCTCCGTGTTGGCATCTCCATTGACGAAGCTCACAAAGAAGGGGGCCAAGTTCATATGGGATGACAAATGTGAGGAAGGGTTTCTTGAATTGAAGAAACGGCTTACCGAGGCACCAGTTCTTGCCCTACCCAAGCAGGGGATAGGGTACGATATCTATAGCGATGCTAGCATCCAAGGGCTAGGATGTGTGTTGATGCAAAACGGTAAGGTGATAGCCTACGCCTCTATGCAATTGAGGAAACACGAGGTGAATTACCCTACCCCACGATCTGGAGTTGGGGGCGGTAGTGTTTGCACTGAAGATTTGGAGGCATTATCTCTACGGGGAGACATGCCACATTTATACTGATCATAAGAGTTTGAAGTATGTATTCGCTCAGAAAGAGTTGAATATGAGATAACGGAGATGGATGGAGTTGATCAAGGACTATGACTTGATCATTGACTATCATCCCGGAAAGGCCAACGTGGTGGCCGATGCGCTAAGCAGGAAGAGTACGTCGGGGACGTTACTCACATGTCTACGGGCATTGAGGGCGCGCGTGGAGGTATCCACATGCGGGGCCCTCATTGCTAGCTTTGAGGTTAGGCCCACATTACTGAGTGAGATCAGTAGATGTCAGGCCATTGACGAGGAATGTCAGAAGATCCGTGAACGGATCCTTGAAGGGCCCGTTGAGAACTTTCGGGTACGTGAGGATGGCCTTTTGATGTTTAAAGACCGTGTGTGCATACCAAAGAATGAGGAGCTCCAGAAGTCTATACTAGAGGAGGCTCATTCTTTGGCCTATGCCATGCATCCAGGGGGTACTAAGATGTACCGAGACTTGAAAGAGAGTTACTGGTGGTCAGGTATGAAGAGGGACATCGCAGAGTATGTGAGTCGATGCCTTACTTGCCAGCAGGTTAAGGCAGAACACCAACACCCGGCAGGGCTATTGCAGCCACTTACCATTCCAGAATGGAAGTGGGAACATGTGACTATGGATTTCGTGGTAGGGCTACCACAGACGGTAAACAACTATGATGCAGCTTGGGTAGTGGTTGATAGGCTCACCAAGAGCGCACATTTCTTGCCTATCAACATTACTTACCCTCTTGAAAGGTTAGCCAAGTTATATACGGAAGAAATTGTGAGATTGCATGGAGTCCCGATATCCATTGTCTCAGATAGGGACCCACGATTCACATCCAGATTTTGGCCAAAGTTTCAAGCATCCTTGGGTACTAAACTGAAGTTTAGTACAACTTTTCACCCACAGACGGATGGACAGTCCGAACGGGTGATACAGATTTTGGAGGACATGCTTAGAGCGTGTGCTTTGGAGTTCCAAGGAAGTTGGGACAAACATTTGGCTCTGGTAGAGTTTGCCTATAACAACAGTTATCAGGCGAGTATTGGCATGCCTCCATACGAGGCTTTATATGTGGAGGAAGTGCAGGACACCTTTGTGTTGGGATGAGGTTGGCGAGGCCAAACTCGAAGGGATAGAACTCGTTGAGATCACCAAGGCTAAGGTGAAGATCATTCGTGATAGACTCATGGCTGCCCAAGACCGGCAGAAGAGCTATGCAGACAAACGGCGGAGGTCGTTGGAGTTTGAGGTCGGGGATGAAGTCTTTCTAGGGACCTCTCCTTGGAAAGGCATCATCCGATTCATATCAAGGGGTAAGCTTAACCCCCGATACATTGGTCCGTTTGAAATCCTTGAGAGGGTTGGGGCCGTAGCGTATCGTCTCAAGTTGACCCCTGAACTTGAGAAGATTCATGATGTATTTCATGTATCGATGCTCAAGAAGTATGTGCGGGATCCATCACATATTCTTGAGAAACCACCGGTGGAGATCCGGGAGGACCTGCAATATGTTGTAGAACCAGTGAAGATAGTGGGCCAACAGGTGAAGAAACTTAGGAACAAGGAGATTCCTATGGAGAAGGTTCTGTGGAGGAGTGATCGAATAGAAGAAGAAACCTGGGAGACTGAGGTCTCAATGAGGGAGCAATACCCGTTTCTTTTCGAATAGACACGTTGATTTCGGGGACGAAATCCCAAATAAGGGGGGGTGAACTTGTAACACCGTCCCCAAGTATATTTACTTTTGTGTAAGTTATGTATTGAACCTTATGAAATGGTTAATGAATTTACGAGGTTGTAAATTTTTGTTAATTCTTTTGCGTGAATAGTAAATTGCACGTGGGGCCCACACGGGAGCGGGGACCACCCGATATTCCCGAGACCGCATATTTTATTCATCTTGGTATAGATAATAGTTATATGGTGGTGGACATTCACTTTGGGCCATAAGAAAGGCATTGGGTTGACCGATTGGTCAAACAAGGCCCAATTACCGGTTTTGGGTAATTTATCGGATAACAGTCCGAAATGAATTTCGGAGACTTCCAAATTAGAGTTGGGGAAAGTATACTCATTATAAAGGCCCGTAATGATCGAGAACATACTATATATTTCATTTGACCCAATAAAATAAAGTATAGTTAAAACTGTCCAAGAAATACAACTTTCGGGACAAATTGTACACTTCGGGACACATTGGGATGACCTCCCACATGAGTGGGGGCCATCCCACGTTTTTGAGAGCTTAAGTTGACTAAGAGGTCCTGCACAACATAATGATGTGGTGTGGAGTGCTTGAGGGTGATGGTTGGTGTGTTGATGACATGAGGTGGGCTCCCATCCCACACTCATTGGTCCATGGAAGACAAATTAGTCACTCCATCCCCTCCCCTCCATTATGCACGACCCAAGCACCAAGAAAGAAGGAGAAAGGCTCTGCAAACTCAGTCCTCCATAGCAAATCTCGAGCTCAAGCTCCAACAAGAAAAAGGGAGAAGTTTAGGAGAGGAAAAAGGGAAGAAAAAAGTGTGGTGATTAAGGTAACGACTTCGTATTAGTTGTTCCTCTATCCTCTAACTATCATATGACTTACATAGCATGTAAGGAGCCTTTTTAGTAGCTCTACATATTTATAAATATAGAAATAAGGGTTGAGAGGTGGTTCTATGTCCAAGAACGGACTTAGGAGCCAAAACGACCGGTTAGCCGGAAAATAACCTTTTAAGGGTTATTTGTATTGATATGGGTTTTGTGATGGTAAAACCTTGTTAGGCACTTGTCAAAGGTGATTTAAAAGCTTTCACAAAGTTTAAGGAGTCGCCGGAGTTATCGCCGGAGTTCGTCAAAGTTCACCGGAGTTTGGCCGGAGTTCAACCGAGAAGGGTAGAACTTCATCACGCTCATTTGAGGTGAGTGGACGGCTTAATGTCTTATAACTCTTGGGTTAATTATGAGATTACCTAAGTAAATGTTATATGTGTTCATAATGATGTTTAAAAGATGCTTAAACATGTGATTATCCAAAGTGATTAGACTTATATGTATGACCCATTGATATCATAAATGAAGTATGATATGAAAATGTTTATAAAAACATATTTGATGTTTTAAGGGATGAAAGGGGCGTAAAATGCTTGGTTATAACTTAATACATGTTGGGATTAAGTTTGACGCAAATCGGGTTTGAAATGGCGAGTCAACGAAAATGTTGACTTGGTTGCCCAGGGGGTAACCGGCGCCGGTTATAGGCAAAACCGGCGCCGGTTATGGATCGGCATGGCCGGTTTTATTAACTTAATTAATAACCGGCGCCGGTTATGTCAAAACCGGCGCCGGTTTGGCACTGTTTTGCCTATATGTTGGTTTTTAATGCATGAATTGCATGGATGATTATGCTTAGGCCTTAAGACTTGGTTTAGTCTTGATTATTGATTATGATATAGACCTTATCTAGGGTGATATGTGGTAGATCATAAGTCGGGTGGAGTACCCAGGGATCGGGCGGTTATCCTCAAAACTCAGTTATAGGGTGGAGTACCCAGGGATCGGGCGGTTATCCTCAAAACTCAGTTATAGGGTGGAGTACCCAGGGATCGGGCGGTTATCCTCAAAACTCGGTTATAGGGTGGAGTACCCAGGGATCGGGCGGTTATCCTCAAAACTCAGTTATAGGGTGGAGTACCCAGGGATCGGGCGGTTATCCTCAAAACTCGGTTATAGGGTGGAGTACCCAAGGATCGGGCGTGTATCCTCAAAACTCGGTTATATAGGGTGGAGTACCCAAGGATCGGGCGTGTATCCTCAAAACTCATAGATTTATTATTTTGTAATTTAGGACCGGGCGGTGTCCTCATGTTAAGATGATCTGAACCAGGAGGAGTTCTATACACTCATAGGTATATGGGTGGGTTAGGGTTTAAGCCAAGGTTACCGGCTATATTATTTCCCAAATAAACAATGACCTACGGGTCGGGTATTTCCAAGTGTATATATAATGATATATATTTCATAACTTGGGGGAAGGAACTATATGTATATGAATCACCCTATGTTTGGGTCTTATAGTTGAAACATTAGTTATTCTACATTTAGCCTGCTACTCGCTCGGTACTTGTACTGACCCCTTCGGGGGCCCCACCATTTCAGGTTGAAGCTCAAGCTTGCTATTCTCACCTTGCTCGGTGAAGTGATCTAAAGGGAGACGTGGTTCGTGCTTCCTTTACTGTTTTAAACTATAAACTATGCTCATGGATATTTTGTAATAAGTACATTTGTTTTAGGCCTGCGAGCCCACGTTTTGGCCATATGTGGCCCATGGTTGAACATTGAATATTTCCGCGATTCGTTCAATCCAAATATGTGATGTTGTTATGTATGTTTACTTACTGAGTATGGTATGAACAACGTTCATGGACGCCTTGTATGATTAAGTCACGTTGACTTGCGAGTGACGTCATTTAGTCATACGGCGGTTGTACACGCGCTCGGATGCGGTCTGGGGCGTGACATTGGCGGAGACCAGCTTCTGATTCTGATTCTGCTTTTAAAAAGGAAGTCGAAACATTAATCAATTACAAACATCCCATGAATCCCATTCAATGTAATACTACGTATGTATGTGTTGTACAATTATTGACCAAGAATTCCCATGTATTAGAGTCCCATTATGTGTAACATTGATGCATGTTGTACTTTACGATTAATCTCATTCACTTTTATTAGTCCCATTATTTAAATAATTTTGTGTTGTACAATTCCTGAGATTTATAAGGAGACTCTTGCGTAATTATGTGGTCTTCTAAATCTTAGAGTCCGTTTGGTAGCACGAAAATCGGTTGATTTGGCTGATTCTACTGAAATTTATGAAGTTCTGACTGAAGTGACAGCATTGACTGATTCTGCTGATTTAAGAAAAAAATATCTTTAAAATATATTCTATTAATAAAATATTGAAAAAATTATATGTAAAAATAGCTAAAATGGTCATGTACAGTAACTTTAGCCAATACAGCCAGAAAAGTAACTTCAACCTTACTTTTTCTGCTTATTACACAATTCAGCGCGCAAAAACAAAAATTAGTGTTTGGTGAAAAAGTTGGCTGATAAGGCTGATAAGCCGAAAAACAATGTTGTCAAACGGCCTCTTAATATAACTTTAGTTTTTCGGAGTGTGCTGTTTCTCAAAATTATTTCTCATATTAAGCGTATAGTATAAATTAATTAAATGTCTTAATAGCAGTGCTAATAGAATTTGTGCTAACTAATGAGAGAGTGACAAATCATTGATTTATAACTCAATTCTACTACATAAAAAATAGATAATTGTGTGACTTACTTATTAATGTTCTTAGGGTTACTCCTTCCGTCCTTAAAATTCTTCTCATTTACTTTTTTGGAACGTATCAAAAAAAATTATGCTTTTCTTTTTGGAAAGTTTTGTGTGACTATCTCGAAGATAAAAATTTTGCGGGGTGGAAGAAGTACCTTTTTTGATATTATCATTGCGTTAAAAGTGTAATAATTGAGGTTAAGTGGCTAACTAATAATTGTACGATAGTATATTGTATCGATTTAAATTGACATAGACAATATTTATCCTTGGCTTTATTCGATCATTAGCAAAATTCATGTATATATGCATTGTGTTGATTCAAATATAAAAAATCATGTAATATATAAAAATGTTGACATCTTAAGACCCAGAAAGGCCAGAATCCCAGATCCGAAAAATCTGCTCCGCCTAAGTGTAAATTAATTAAATGTCTTCTTAATTCTAATTATTAGAATTTTGTTAACCAATAAGAAAGTGACACATCATTAATTTATAACTCAGCTTTACTATATAAAACAATAGATGTGAAATTCATAAGAATAATATCTACTTTTAGGGATTCTAGTATTCTACAATAATAATCCCTACTGAGAATGCCTATAAAAATAATCTGAACTAGCAATAGTGTCCACAAGAATAAATTGAGGTGAATTCAAATTAATGTCCGTTTAATACTATCAATCTCTACTCTCACTTTTCTTTTCACCGCTCTTCTTATCGAAGTGAATTAAAACTAAAACCCGTTTAATCTTAATATCATTTCCGTCATATGTGGTTCTTTCTAGGATAGAAGATAAAAGTGTTACCCGAAAAGAGGAGTGGTGAAGGGGAAACTAATCAACTATAGGTAAGATTTGGGAGAATTAAATGGGAAATAAGTTTAATTTATCTCAATTTATTCTTGTGGACACTATTAGTTCGGATTATTTTTATGAATACTCTAAGTAGGGATTATTATTGTAGAATGCCCAGTAGTAGAGATTATTTTTGTGAATTTCGCCTTGAAATTATTACTCCCTCCGTCCTGAAAAGGTTCACCAACTTTGACTTTCACGTGGATTAATAAAGTAAAAATTGTGTGGTTGACATTTGTGCAGAGGAGAGAGAATTAACTTTAGCCACATATTCCTTACTTTAAATGAAATGACAAATCCTTTTGGAAAATCCAAAAAAAAAAAATTGGCAAACTTTTTCGGAACGGGGAATATTATTGTTAGTTGTGTTAATAAAGTTTTTAGTGAACCTGTGATTCTCGGTCAATCGATATCTCATAATCATTATCGTCAATAACTGGATTTATGTTCATGTCAATTAACTGAATTTGTATTTCCGTTGGTTGAGGTCAATTAACCGAAAAAGATAATTGGATCTTCTATTTTTCATTTAGTTATTCTTGTTCAATTTTTTTGTGTACACCCAAAGCTAAGGGTACTCAATAAAATGACAATGCCCATTTTTGGTCTTTTAACAATGGTGGGGGTGATCAAACACAGTAACACACTATACTAACATGGCAACTTTCTCTCCAATTTGCATCCTTGTGTAGAGTCAAGGCACCACAGAGTATTTGCTATTTGCTTGCCCAATATATTACCCATAATAATAATGTATGTGGTTTTACACTTTTACAGACTTTGCTAAATAATTGCAAGACAAACAACTTTACATTCTCCTCCATGTCTTCAAAGGGGACTCTTTTCTGGTGCATTTGCTTTAAAACCTTGTTGCAGCATGTAACCATGAATGTTTCCCCAAAATAAGAAATTACAATTATTACTCCGCTTTTGCTCCTCCATTGTATCACTTCCGATGCCCTGCCGAAGCTATCAGGACCCCGACAGCCACGATAAACATAAACAACATCCCAAATAGAAACACATATGTTCTTCTCGATGATCTTCGGTATTCTCCAAATAAAAGTACTCCCCAAAATGTGCTAACAAGTGGTAGTGCCTGAGATTAAAAGAATATATGAAACAGATGCATTCTTGAAGTGCATAATGTGTGGATATTCTTAACTATCTAAAACGTTTTTCATAAAACTTATTATTATTTGCCCCACTTTCCATTTCTGGCAACTACCATCATATCAAAAGACATGATTTTTTGTTATTTTGTTATTTCTAATCACTATTAACTGCACTTACAATTTCACTCTTTGTGAAGTTCATTTGTCAGTTAGAGATTTACGTGAGACGGATCACATCATTCTATAGATGAACTTACTAACCTGAACTGCGTCAGCAGCTGCATAGCCAGCAGCTTGGCCTCCCATGAATTGGAGCCCATTCCCAAACCCACAGAATAGGCCTGCCAACAAGGCCCAACCTCGACCATCCCAGTCGGACAGATAGGCCTTAAAGGACGACTTGGGCCCGTTTAGCACGGGGCGGTACAGAAAACTGATATTGAGAATAATAGCAAGCACAAAACAAGAGACTGAAAAGTAGAAAAATGCAGTGTAGACACTTAAGTGGGGAACTCCAGGTTTAAGTGTATGCCACTGATCATTGGTAGACAGGTTGAACGCGGGTGAGAAGAGAGAAAAGCACAGGCCGGAAAATAATGTTATCCCCAAACCAATCATAGTCCCCTTCCCTAAAACCTGCAACCAAACATTAACAAATGAATAATGTAAATTCCTTATAACAACTTTATTTCTTTAAAAATGTAAAAAATGGAAAAGTAAAAAGGTTGGTACATCTGACAACCTTAATTGACCTTTTGTTCTCAAGCTCTATCAGAAAGAGTGCTGTTCCAAATTTTGCCTTCTCCACAGAGTGAACTCCATTCTCCAAATCACTTTTTCCAACTGTAAATGCCTTTTATTCGTCATAAATTTTAAATTAAATAAACCATGTGACAATTCAACTCCACACGTATTTTACTTAACAATACCTGAGTTCTTATGAGTCTCACCAGAGACTGATGTGCTTCGGTTCCTAATTAATGAAGAAAAATATTATAAACTCAAAACTTAAATAAGTGCAACAAAATTTAAGAGTGATAGTGTGAACCTCAACCTTAAACATAAGCAATAAGAAGGCTAGGAAGTCAATCTCTTATACAGTTATACGGTAGGTGATATTTGGAAAAAACCCCAAAGTGTGATACCTTAACACTCTAAACTTGTTAGAAATTGTCTCAAACTAGAATGCTACACAATGAGGTGATGAACTTTGTAAAGATATTCCACATTGTCCACATTAGCACAAACTCAAATCTTGATTTAATATAATATTGCCAATTAAGCTCCAACAGTCCATTTAATCCTGCTAAGCCTCAACAATGACCATACAGATATTCAAGATTATATTAGTTTGCTATAATGAGTCACCATCTCTAGGGACAACTAAGTCTAAAACATTGAACTACTTGCCTCTAACTAATAAGAATATTATGATAGGTGGTAAGCGGCAGGCCTTAATATTTGGTTTGCATACATGAAAGTGATGAAACTTACCAAGCAGCATTGTTGGTAGAATCACCAGAGAGACTACCAAGCTTTCTCTTGTTATCAGCAGCATTAGATGCATGAACGATAGAGCCTAGACAAACTGCGACCAAGAAGCATCCAACGCCTGGGAAAAGAATCTCAGCTTTGTTGATTTTGTCATCCAGGTAGTAATTCAACGTTGTTCCTGTCATAAAAATAATATCAAATTAAAATCCGAAAGATGAAGACAGCGAGTAGTGAAATATGAAGTAGTTTTAAAAACTGACATGATAAGTGAGTGCCCTGAAAAACAACATGTATATATAGAGGGTTTTCTTAAAACATTAGTGAAATAAAAGTTATGGACAAAGGTGTAACTAAAGTTAATAGCTTAATATGAGTATTGCCGTCATACTCATTACTATGCAAAGTTGAACTTAATAAATGACACTAAAAGTTGCTCATATGATCACTCATCACTGCAGATAAAAAGTCTCACTATCTTTATTAGTCATATATTAGTCATTATTTCACATCAATATATGTAGTGATTGATAGGAAAAACAAATTATATTACCTATGACCACAGTAATGCTTGAACTAACCACCTCTGTGACTGACAAGCCAACCAATGCCCATGCATATTGAGTTGCCAGGTTTCCTAGGCTGAGCACCACCCCACCTCCCATTGCAAACAACACACTTGACCAATTGTCCTGCAAACCATTTATTTATTCCTTATATAAAAACTGTGGTTATTCTAAAACACAAAGTCTGTTTGGTGTCAGTGGCATGAAATTTGTATTGTCATAGTGAGTTTGGATGTGCTTCTAGACAGAACGAAAAGTGCTTTTACATGTTAAAAAAGATGATTTAGGGAATTTTAAGTTTTTGATTCAAGTAGTAT